GGTTCGGTGTATTTCTTTTATACACCCACACTCAATCTCACACCCAAGAATACCCATTCTCCTGGAATTAAGTTCCGTTGAATCCATCTAATTCCACTGTGACTCAATTCCCGGAATTCCATAGGGAATCACTTACATATTCAGGAACTCCATCTCTGATCACATCACAATGCACGAGGGTGAGGATAGGAAATGATTCTGCTACTAAATTATTTCCCATCTTTTATCACACTTAGAACCGAAAGTATGCATATATTACTGCATAAAAACAACTTCTATAATCCTCATAGTTATTTTAATCCCTTTAGTCACTTTGGTGCCTTTAGCTAGTGATTAAGAGCACTAAAAGGACTAAGAGCTGTAAAGAAGGCTTTTTCATGCTATGATATGCACCATCTTGAGGAGGATGTGGGTGGAGTGAGAACTTTAGTATGCTTGTCGTAATTTTTTCTAACCCGATGCAAAATTCCACATTCACACTCTGAGGATATGGGTATGAATGTAGGTGAGGATGAGTGTGAGTCTGAATGCTGATGTAGGTGTGACGCTGCAAGTATGAAGTCAGGTAAAACTACAACAATCATGCCAACACTCTTACCCAATATGCATCCTCGAATTATGCTTTTTTGTTCAGGTAGATATTCCGTATAGACCTCCGTTCATGTAGATAAAATTTCATAACTATTTAATCTTACGAATATTCTTAGTCATATGGGCAATATCGTTCAAAAGCTTTTGTTACGATTTTTCTTAAGATTTTCCATCATATCTGGAAAACTGAACAGAGCTTTGTGGAGCAAAGTCTGCTTTATAAGATCCCATATGTTACATATCTCCAGAATATAGCCAATTTTAGTATAGTTAATAAGTTTTTTATAATGATCTATATTTATTGTTTACTGCACAATCAAATAATTTAATATTAAAACCAATTGAATTTCATTGTTTCATGCATTTTGCTATCAAAACCGTGACAATATATATCATCAATATAAATGCAAAAGAGACTCTTTAATAAAACGTCAAAAAATAAAAGACTTTCCTTGCAGAAAACTTATCAGGAGATTCAATCCGATCTGTAGATCCGATCGGATTTGATCAGAACCCGATATATTTCATAAATGACCGATCGAATCCCACAAGGTTCCTGTCGGATTCCCATGCTCTGAATTTCGATCAGGTTTCATCGGAATTCGATGAGATGCGATGGAATCCGGGTCGAAATCCGGAGTATGAAAATCCGACAAAAACAATGTCGAATCCGACCGAATTATTCCGAAAGGACAAGATTCGGCTGATGTAGTTTGATCTGGGTTTAGAAAAGTCGTTTTTATCAATTTTACGAATTTATCTCAATTATTTCTAGAGAAATCGTATCACTATTTTTTATTTACATGATCAGAAAAGAAAACTACGAAACGGAGCACAAGCGAGAAAATTTTGAAAATGATATGTTTTTATGTTTGATTTCCCCATGGAATCACCGTGATAGATTTTTTATAGCTCAATTTTCTTAAGAACAACACAAAATCCTTAATGTTTGATTGTTTATATGTCTCGATTCTTCTGAAAATTCCACTAATAGATATATAATCACTATTAAAAGTACTTTCTATGACTTTTTTTTCCAGCAGTGGACAAATTCGGTCAATCCTGAACTCTTGAAGAGTTCAGAATTCATAAATCAACCAAAAAGACACGTACCGATCGTAGTTAAATAAAATCTTGTAAACTCAGAGAACTCCCAGAGCTCAAGAACCTTACCGAACTGACATAAGCCACGAAACTGAACAAATAACTAGTTTGTGCGGGTTGTGTGAATATCAAAAAGTCACGAAGCTAAAGGGACTAAGAGACTTTGAGAACTCTTAAGATTGAAGGGGCTTGTATAGAAATCGAAAGTCTCTTACGCAGGTATCGTATAGATCACATGGGCGTTACGAGAGCTGAGAATCGAAAAAATGAAGAGTAGGTAGAGAGTTCATGTAGAGGGTGAATATATATTGCTCCTATTCATACCCTATTAGATTCCTTGAGCTCCGTGTATTCGGTCGATTCTAGTCGGCTTATAGGTTCACAAATCCTTAAGATTCAGAACTCACAGAATTTGGACACATGTTTTTTCCCAATGATTTAAATGTAAAACTTACCCGAATGAAACTGTTTAAATGAAATGATTTGAAAAAATTGTAATAGTCTGTAACTTTCGAATGGTATTGTGTGTGTGACTGAATGTGCTTTTCGCGGAATAATTCGTTTCGTTTGTTTTATAAAGTAACAACATTTGTCACTTTTTTTTCTTTTTTTTCATCTACGCATTTTATTGTGAAAGAATGTGTAAAAATTGAAAAGAAGACATTAAAGGTTCAGAATACATAAAAAATGTTATTGGAAAGAAGGAGAAAAAAATTCATATGGAATAAAATGTATTAAAGTACTGTGCAATCAAACATTGTTGATAGAAGACTGTATTGATCGTAATGAAAGACAAATATATCTTCAAAAAAAGAAACAAAAATTTGATAAAATTGAAAGAATTATGTTATTCATTTGAATGGATTTTATCAACAGTCATTCGTAGATCGTCGACACCATATTAAGGATGTCGATGTCTGATATATCCTTAATGCACTTGTGCATTCATTCTCACCTATATTCTGACTTTAGTCACATCTCTATTAACAAAACATTTAGTCGGCAAAATGCTTTCCTATAGAAAAAAACTTCTCCGTTAAATTTGTTGAGTAAATTATATTTGAATGAGGAACACATTAATGTTAAACAGAAGTCGTCTGTACCAAAGAATAGTTGTAAAAAGTGAGTGGATTTGATTTTTGATGAATGAAATTATGATTTTATTTGAAAAAAAAAGAAATCTTTTAAGAAAAATTCATTTTGAAGAATTGCGAAAATCATTTCTTTATTCAAATTAAAAACAAAATCTTTTGATGAATATCGATTAGATTTTCATTATTTTGAATTTAATTATTTCATTCCTTCTCTTCATCCAATTCAATGATTTTATCCTTAAGAACAACAATAATTTCATAGTCGAAAATAAATAAAATATTTGTTTAAACAATTCTTCAGAAACAAATTTCCCATTCGAATTCAATTTCGTCTTCTTTTGCTGTTCAGTTTTATTAAAAGATTTAGAAGATCAATCAATATTTCATTTTTTTTTCTCTTAATTTATTAAATGATATTTAAAGAATTAAATATTTAACAATAAATGAAAAATAAATATTTCAATTTATTCTCTATAATGACGTATGTCTCTCAATTCTCTCACCCTTTTTCTCGGTTGAATCTATTAGTAACTTTTAGAAGTTATTTTTCTAATTGATCATATGTAGTTGGATCTCCATTTCTATTTGAAATTTGAATTAGGAATCTGATGACAATATCAAATATATTTGATAAGAAAATAAATCTTAGTTTATTGTATTTTATTGATAATAAATAAAAATATTATTTTAATTAAACGATAAACATTGTGAAAATTGATTTTGAATAACATTTTATTAAAATTTAGTGTTTCGTTAAAATATTTCGATATGAGATGTCGATGAATAAAGAAATGGTGAAAAATAGTTTTTATTCTTTTTCTTAGAATTCTTCAAAAATTCTTCATAAAGTAAAAGAATTGTTAATGCACATCTATTCAGGTGTTACCTTTATTTTAATTTCAATTGTTAAATTATTGTTGTTGATAGAATAAAATCAAAATACGAATTGTGAACGAATTATAACTTTCGGTCAATTTTCTCTTCATATAATGAATTAAATAGAGACTTTGATTAATTTTCATATAAAATAATTTTCTCAGATTTAACATTATTTATTGTAATTATTCATTTCTTTTTTGTCATTGTTGATAATCTGAATAATTCTTTTTGGAATTAAAACAATGTCACAGATTTGAGTTTAAAATTAAAATTTTGATGTGATAAATATTTAGTCTTTTGTAGATTTTCTACTTGTTCAGTTTTAATATTTGAATATAAATTCGCTAAAATGATTCAATTTCTTCAAGTGACATCATCAGTTTGTTAAGAAATTCTATTTTTAATATGAAAAATTTTAAATTCTTTTCTAGCATTTGTAATCAAAGAGATATGTTGATAAATCGTATGAGAATATCTTTTTTTATTAGCTTTGTGCAAAGAATTATATTTATTAAAATATTGATTTTATAAAACAAATTATCGAAAAATAAAAAATATTTATTATAAAATTAAATTGAGATTCTTAAATAAGCGTTTACGTCGATTAAATCGTCTCACTGATTTATTTTAATCATAGAGAAATTGTGAAGATCATCAGTCATCTTAAAATAACAAAATATTTCTACTCATCGTTAAGAAGATCATCGAATTAACTGATATTTTTATTGTGATGATGGATAAAGTCTTTCCGAGATCTACATCGAAGTTGAAAATTGATCGCTGCCGCCGTCTGTCAATAACAAAAACGAAAAAGAAACTATCGCATTAGTTTCTATAAAAAAATAAATATCCACGAAATTGACAAAAAAATAAATTATTCGAATTAGAAATTAAATAAAAATCACGTATTAATGTAGACAAATTGACATCTATCAATTGTATCAAACTAGAGTATTGAAAGAAAGTATGAGAGGTACTTCGATTTTAACTGATTTTGAATAATATTTAGCTTGGATAAGTTTATATAGAATCAAAATAATTGAAATAATGAACATCATTAATTCAGCACCAATTGAGACTAAATTTAACACCATATCAGGATATATTGACACAGAAATATTTAACATTTCGACATTCGAAAAAACCAACTAAAAGACTTTTATTTGAACTTATCTTACTCGTAGTTTACTTCATCCATTGCTCGTAAATAATAACGACTTAAGCTTTTAAATCAATCAATTAACTTTGCTCATCTTTCCTGACATTAAAAAGAAAAATAAGATAAAAAGAAACAAACTAGTTTCATCATTAATATTATTAATTCATAAGAAAATATGAAATAATATGGATAGGAATTCCATAGAGAATATTATTACGAATCTTCTTCTTTCTTTCTTCAGTTTATATTCTTTCCAAACATTAGTCTATCTTAAACATAGTTATATTATTATATACTTCACATTACAATCAAATAATATTTCTTTCATATATTAAACTCTTATATTAGAAAAATGTTGATACAATCTCTTTCATAACGAATATATCACGCATTCTAATATAGGTGGGGAATAGAGAAATTGTCTCAATTCTTTTTCACAATAAAAATAAACTGTGTAAATTTATTTTTAACTGCTTTTTAACTATTTTTACTTTGTAATATAAAAAAAGAGAGAAAACTTATCTTTTCTGATGAAATATCGAATAGAAAGTCAAGTATGAAATTATACGATTATTTCTAAACTTTTTTCATTGGTTTGATGTTTTCGAAGAGTGTAAATAAATGAAATTTCAATACAATGTCAATGTCTCGACACTCAGCTATGTTCATTATCTTCTTTATGCAAAGTAAATCTATAAATTACTAGATTTAATATGAATAGTTTTGTCATGTTTCACTTAAAAGTCTCAAATGAATTACGCTATAATTATTGATTATTAACTGAATATATTTATGATTGTTTTCGTCGTAGATTATTCTTTAATTGATAGAAATAATCTATAATCAGTGTTAATTAAGCATGTTTCCACAGATTCACAAAGTCTATTTTATTCAAATCATTTTCTTATTTTTGCATTAATTTAGTAAAAGATTCATCTTTGCTTTGTATTTTATCGTTCAATGAAGTATTTTCTTTTCTTTAGTTTTTGTTATATCGATAAAAAGAAGAAAATTTATGAATAAACGCTGAATTGTTTATTCTCACTAAGAGAAGTTTATTACAGAATAAATAAATATAGTTCTACTGGAAGAATTTATTTCTCTAGTTGTAAATATAAAACGTGACTTTTATTGGTCGATGATTTGAATGAACACATTCAAATAATTTATTTCTATTGGAAACTTAGATCATGAGAAAAATATTTAGAAAACTATATTTATCACGATGGGTTTCTTTTCAATATGCTAGAGAATGAATAATCTCGTTATAGTATTAATAACAGTATCAAACTACTACCTACGGATGTCCCATAAATAATTACCCTTTTCCCTTTCTCTCAATAAATCATAAAAGCATAAAAATAAATCTAATAAAATTTCTATTTACAAGTTTTTCTTGTTAATTTAAATGTTTTTCTTAATTTTAAAAATATTTTATTTGATTTTTTTAATTCAGTTTTATTCAATTTCCGTTAGTTTGATTCATTCAATAGAAATTCTATCCGAGTTATTTTATTCATTTTGGTTTTTTGATTTAAAACCAAAATCAAAACAAACATATTTATTTACTTTTTTGCTAAAAATGAAAAACAAATTTATTTTTGTTGAAGATTTTTCCTAGATTAATGTTTTTTATTTATTTTCAAAAGTAAAAATTGAAATTTTATCAAATGAAATTAAAACTATTTTAATTTAAAATTTTTTCATATTTTTGGATTCGATGATTTTCAGAGTCAACAACATAAAGATTTTCTTCATCATCAAATGATAAACCTTTGGGATAATTCAATTGATTTCCTCTTCCAGTTTCACCAACAACAATTTCACCTTCTTCATCTCCTTCACACCAACGCATTATGCGATGATTATTACCATCTGCCACATAGATTTGACCCAAATGATCAACAATCACTCCTTGAGGATTAGACAATTGTTTGAGACTATTTCCTTCACCATTTCCACCAGCAACAATATTTCCTTCGTTTGCATCTTTTTTCCATTTCATTACACAATGACTCCGCTCATCAGATACATAAAGAGAATAATCTTCATCAATAAACATAGAAGTAGGTTTATTTAGTTGATTAAGATGATTTCATTGACCATTTCCACCTGCAACCAATTCACCTTCTTCATCTCCTTCTTCCCATCGTCTTACTTCATGTTTTTCATAATCAGAAACATAAATGTATCCATTGTTATCAATTGTCAAACCCTCACAAAAAATATTTGAAATAATAATTTGTTGCTTTTTTTGATGTCGACCAAATTTTCGAATAATCTTTGAAATAAGAGTTTTTTGATTTTTATCAAAATATCGAACTACTCGTCTTCTTCCCACATCAGAAATAATAAAAGACTTGTTTTGTTTATCAAAAATTATATCTCTTGGATTGTACAATTGATTTTCTTTTCCATTTCCACATGCCATGATTTTACCAGTATTTGAATTCAACTTCCATTTAACAATACGATGATTCGAAAAATCAGCAATATAAATTGATTTATCATTATCAATACAGATCCCACGAGGACCATAGAGTTGATTTAATTCCTGTCCTTTTCCATTTCCCCCAGCAACAGTAATTCCAGATTGTTGATATTTATTCTTTTTTGTTTGAGTTTGCTCTAAAGTAAAAGATTTTCTTTTTATTCAAAACCTTTTTCATTGTTTTTAAATCAAAAAAGGGCGAAAATAAGAAGAAGAACTTGTATTTGAATTTGTCTTGATAAGATAAAATTTTGATTTTGTTAAATTTTAATTTTAATGATCAAAATAAATTCTAAACAACTTTTTCATTCAACTGAGAATTTTTAATTAAAAATTGTTTATTTGATATTCACAAAAGTTTAATTTAGGAAAATGTTTTTTTGAGTGAAAATCATTTTTACTTCAATAATTTAAATAAAATCGATTAAAAACTTCTTTTTTATTAATAAATTAAATAAATTTTTTGTTTTGAAAATTCTATGCTAAAACGTTAAACTCACGTTAAATTTATTGAACAATTTCAAAACAAAATAATCTTCTCATTATAATATTAAAACAGATCTGAGGGTGTAAGTGTGGGTGTTGATGTGAATGTGTATATGATAGGGAAAAGCAACACC